CCATCAGGAAGATAGGACCACGTGTGAGGTCTTGACAGGATGACCATAAACTTCAGAGGATGCCCACCTGGGACACTACTCAAGAGCTCCAAAAATTGGATAATACAGGAAGAAAAGGAGGAGAAGGAAATCCTGAATGATCAAGATTATATCTTAAATAACCAAAAACATCATAAAATTACCACATAAACTTGGAATTAACTAAAATAAGTTTTCCAGTAGAATGAGGGCCCAAATAGAAGATAAGTTCCACAGAAGAAAAAGTAAGAAAATCCTGTTTCTCACATATTTGTGTTTTATAGCTAGAAAATCTGTGCTTGCACTACCTGATTTTGGCCCTCACCGATTCCCTGACTATATTTTCTCAATCTCCTTTGCTGACTCCTGCTTTTGTTCATCCCTCTGATATAATCATCCTCAAGTGTTCTGTCCTTCTGACCTTCTCACCTCACCAGATAAGTCTTCTTGAGCAATCTTCATTCCCCTGGCTTCAGGTATCTCATATAAACAATTCTTATAAACAATTCCCATCACTAGCTCTAACCTCTCTTTGTCAAAAAATTTAAAAACCCCATCTTGCTACTCCGTTGTTTCAACAACTGTAAGTAGGTCTTATGGGCTGAAACATGCCCTCCACAAATTCAAATGTTGAAATCTTAAACCCCTGTACCTCCAAATGTGACTATATTAGGAAGTAGGGTCCTTAAAATGGTAATTATATTAAAATGGGGTCATTATGGTGGGCCCTAATTCAATGTGACCATGTGCTTATAAGAGGAGGAAATTTGGACATGGATGGGTACAAAGGGAAGATTATGTGAACACACAGAGATGACAGCCATCTATGAGACAAGGAAAGAAGTCACAAAAGAACAAGCCTTCTGACACTTTGGTGTCATATTTCTAGCCTCCAGAAACGTGAGAAAATAAATTTCTGTTGTTTAAACCTCTCAGTCTGTGGCCTTTTGGGACAGCAGCTGTAACAAACTGTAACAAACCAATATAGTACCTTTCAAAATTAAGTTCAAACACAAGCGCCATCCTCCTCTCACACCTGCTTCTCTCTCTAACGTCATCTCCCATCTCTGCGAGTTTCCTGCACTCACTGTGTAATTTACTTGCACAATGTTACCTTTGCACAGGGAGTTCCCTTACCAAAAATGCCTGTCTACTGGTTCTTTATTCTAATACTTCCCTATCACTCAAAGCACATTTACAAGCAAAGCTTATTAAAATAATGTTAACATGTATTATGCGTTCAAGTACCAAGAACAATCACTGTGTTAGGCCCCAGGGATAGACAGAGAATGTTCCCAGTTACATGAGATGACTTCTTCTCAGAGCACCCTGTGCATTCCTCCATCACTGTACTTACTCAAGAATGTAATAATTCTTTCTTGTCTGAAGGCCTTAATTTTTTATATCTATCCTGCTGGTATCTAATATGCACTAGTGTGCATGTACTGTGCTAAGCACCATCTGCACAGAACCTCATGTATCATTCATCTCAGCCCTGTGAGATATGTACTATTCTTATTATTGCAATTTTACAATGGAAGTTTAGCCTCAAAGAGGAAATTAAGAAGACCCAGGTGGTTAAGTGGCACGGCTGATAATCAAGCCTAATTTGTCAGATTCCAATCACCTTCTTATACCGCTTTCCTTAGAACGTGTAAGTTCCTGAGAGGCTGGAGCTCTATATTCCTAGCCCTTGGTAAAGTACCTGACACGTAGTAGTAAAAAAAATTCATGAGTTTGAGTAGGTAAATAAATGATGATAGAATAAGGCTCTTTAACATAAATGCCTTAAATTCATTTGAAGCAAATGAGATATAACTGGGTTGAAAAGCATCGGAAAAATGGTCTACCATGTCTGGTTAAGAGAAAGGAATAATGTACATGGGTTCCCTCCACAGAAACCCTACTCAGCAGCTTTGTGAACTGAGCCAAAGTACTTTGCTCCTCTGCAACTTGGATTTAACACTGGTGTCGTGAGGTTATTGTGTACGTTAATTGAGGTATACCATGCTTAGTATGATATGAGGCACAGTACCAAATAAATGTTGGAGCCAGTTACTATCATTAGGTGTGACTTCTCTACTTGAGATGAGACTAACAGCTCATCAGATGATTTTAAGAAAAAAAATCTATTACAGAAAGAACATTTTCCCTAAGAAAGACTGAAAGATGTTCATTGGGGGAAAAAAAGAAAAATGGCAACTTCTGCAAGGTGTTCATGTCATGACCAGTGAAAAGCAGAGTTTTTGGACAACTTTTACCAAGTAATATGGCATACATTATACTCATTAAATGTCTCTTGAATGTAACTATCAATGCCAGATGGTAATGTGAACAATTCACAGATAGGTTACATAAGCAATAAGGACTACAGATTTACTCCCATCTTGAGAACCTAAACTTACATTTTTATTTTCAATTTTCCACTGATGAGCTCTCTCTTCTCTTGGTATTTCAGGTCCAACTGGTTTTCACTTTTAAATTTCTCTTCAGCCATTATTTTACCTTGACATTAGCCCTCACTGGCAGCAGTTCTGCCAGGTTTTTCTCTAACATACATTTGATATGTTAATAACCTAATAGAATGGAAGAACTGGATTTTCAGATCCAGATCTTGTGATTCATCAGCCTTTCTCAGAAATAAAATATGTACCAAGCACTGTGCTCAGCTCTCTATAGTCTCACTCCTGTTCAACAGAGTACTGAAAATCCTGGCCAGCACAATCAGGCTAGAAAATGAAATAAAAGGTGCCCTAATAGAAAAGAAAGCAGGATAACTGTCCTTGTTTGCAGATGCTATGATATTATGTAGAGGAAATCCTAAAGACTCCTCCAAAAACCTGCTAACACTAATCAATAAATTCAGTAAGTCAACATACAAAAAAAAAGTCGTGTTTCTGTACACCAACAATAAAACATCCAAAAAAGAAATAAAGTAAACAATTTCATTCACCAGCACATCAAAAACAATAAAGTTCCTGGGACTACATGTAGCCAACAAGGTGAAAGTACTCTACACTGAAAACTATAAGACTTTATGAAAGAAACTGAAGGTACAAACAAATGGGAAGATATCCCATGTTCATTGATCAGAAGAATTAATGTTGTCAAAATATCCATATTACCCAAAACCACCTATAACTTTAATGCAATCCCTATCAAAATTCCAATGACATTTTTCACAGAAATAGAAAAATAACAATCCTAAAATTTGGATGAAGCCACAAAAGATCCATAGCGGCCAAAGGAATCCCCCTTCCCAAAAATAGAACAAAGCTGGATACATCACACTTTCTGATTTCAAACTGTATTATAAAGCCTATAGTAATCAAAACAGTATCTTACCAGAATAAAAACAGACACTTAGGCCAATGGAACAAAATCTAGATCCCAGAAATAAACCCTCACATATATAGTCAACAAATGTTGGACAAGCAAGCAAGAATACTCAAAGGAGAAGAGTTAGTGTCTACAATACTACTGGAAAAACTGGATAATTACATGTAGAAGAATGAAATTGGACCCCTACCTTACACTAATCATAAAAATAAACTCAAAATGGACAAAGATTTAAATTTAAGAATTGAAACTGTAAAACTCCAAGCAAAAAACATAAGGGAAAAATCTTTTTACCTTGGTCTTGGAAGTGATTTCCTGGATAGGACACCAAAAACACAATTAAAGGAAAAAGAAATAAATAAGTGGGTCTACACCAAACTAAAAAGATTCTGCACAGCAAAAGAAACTCAGTGAAATGAAAAGGCAACCTACAAATGAGAGGAAATATTTATAGGATATATGTGAAAAAGGGTTAGTGTCCAAAATATATAAAGAACTCATGTAACCCTACAGCACAAAAATCAATTACCTAATTACAAAATGGGCAGAGAAAATGAATAGACATTTTTTCAAAGACGACATACAAATGGACAACAGGTACATGAAAAGGTGCTCAACATCACTATTCATTCAGGGAAATGCAAATCGAAACCGTAATGAGATACCGCTTCACCAGTTACAATAGCTATCATTAAAATGGCAAGAGATAAGTGTTGGCAAGAACATGGGAAAAAAAGAACTCTAGTACACTGTTGTTGGGAGTGCAAATTAGTACAGCCACTATGAAAAACAGTATGCATGTTCTTCAAAAAATTAAAAATAAAACTACCATGTGATCCAGCAATCCCACTTCTGAGTATATAGGTAAAGAAATTGAAATTACTTATTTCATAAAGGTATCTGTACTCTCATATTCATTGCAGCACTACTCACGACAGTGAGTAGTCAAGACATGGAAACAGTGTAAATGTCTGTCAGTGGATGGATAAAAAAAGATGTGAGATACATACACACACACACACACACACACACACACACACAGAGGAGTATTATTCAGCCACGAGAAAGGAAATCCTTCTATTTGCTACAAATTGAATGGATCTTGAGGGCATTATGCTAAATGAAGTAAGTCAGAGAGAAAAATACTTTATAATAACACTTAAAATATAACTTATAATATCTAAAAAAGACAAACTCAGAGATACAGTAAAGTAGTAAAGTGGTGGTTGGTGGGAGTGGGAGAAATGGGGAGATATTGGTCAAAGGGTACAAACTTCAAGTTACAAGACTAACAAGTCTAGGGATCTAGGGCACAGTCTGGTAAGTACAGTTAATAATACTGTTTCATATACTTGAATGTTGCTAGTTTAATAGATTAGAGGTGTTCTCATCACAAAAAAGAAATAACTATGGTGGTAATCATTTTGCAAATTTATGAATGTACCAAAGCAACATGCCTTACATAAACCTTAAACTTACACAATGTTATGTGTCAATATGTACCAATAAAGCTCAATAAAAAACATTATACTATCACAGAAGTAAATTCTTAGATAAAAATCTAGTTAGTATTGGTTGACTTGGGTAAGGACAAAGAATAAGAGAAGGTCTTAGGCTCTATTCACACAAAAAGCATCATTTACCTTTGGTGGAGGAACAAATTCAACACATTCCAGCCATATTGTTAAAAAGTAATTTCCACATATTGCACATTTTCTTCTCTGAGAGATTATGTTCCTGACCTGTGGGTGCTGTTCTATGACGTGCATTATGAAAGGATTCTTTCCTGCTAGTTCATTCATTATAAATCTTGATGTTATTTCCTAGATTAAAAAAATACAGTTCCTCAGATTATTTTTAAGATAACTATTTTATATTACAACTATTCTCATTTCACTAATATACTTTTTTGGCCTATTTCTCACAGTTTCTGTTAATTTTCCATAATACATATATAATAAATTATATTGCTAGTGACTGATCTTATAAACTCATTTTCAATGATATAAGAAAAGCAATTTGGGACGCCTGGGTCGTTCAGTGGGTTAAAACCTCTGCCTTCGGCTCAGGTCATGATCTCAGGGTCCTGGGATCGAGTCCCACATCAGGCTCTCTGCTCTGCAGGGAGCCTGCTTCCTCCTCTATCTCTTCCTGCCTCTCTGCCTACTTGTGATCTCTGTCTGTCAAATAAATAAATAAAATCTTAAAAAAAAAAAGAAAAGCAAGTTACTTCCATTTCAATATTTCCATTTCAAATCTCTTACATTCAGGAATCCAAATTATTAAAAATTTACATCATTAAAGTTTAGGTTCAAATGTTATACCTCTCATTATAATAAGCAAAAAAAAGAAACAAAAAAATAATAAAACACGGATTGTACAAATATTCAGACTGGACTAAAAAATTGAGTCTGTCATAATAACTAACGTCTAAATCCTTATTACTTAAACTGTGACTCATGGACCAATAGAACCTGTATCACCTCAAAACCTATTAGAAATGCAGACTTCCTGGGGCACCTGGGTGGCTCAGTTGGTTAAGCTTCCAGTGCCTGATTTTGGCTTAGCTCAGGATCTCAGAGTCCTGAGACTGAGCTCTGCACCAGGTTCCGTGCTCAGCGGGGAGTCTGCTTTTCTCCTCCTTCTCCCTCCGCTCCTCCCCCCTGCTGTCTCTCTCCCATAAATAAATAAATAAATAAATAAACAAACAAACAAACAAACAAACAAACAAATCTTAAAAGAAGAAGGAAGAGGAGGAGGTGGAGGAGAAAGAAATGCAGACTTTCGGCTGCACTTCAGACCTACTGAACCAGAATCTGCAATTTAAAAAGGTTCTCTGGGTAATCAGTGTGCCTGTTGAGCTTTGAGATGCACTGGTCTAAGTTACCTACTGCAGTGAGTACCTGAATAGAGTCATATTGGTAAAGAGCACTGATTCCTACTGCCCAAATCTCTGAATTCAATCTGTATTAAATCTATCTACCCAGCCATGTCCAGAAACTTCACTTCAGGTAATAACTTAAAATATTAAATAACAAAAAGGGTGGTGAGGATATATAAGCTGGCTTTTGCCATGATCACCAACAATATCATCACCCTAAAGTAAAATACTATATAATACATAAAATTAAATCTTCACTGATGAAGCAAACAAAATAAACATTTAATTTACTCCGCTAAAGGAACCTCATTGTTTGTGCTGGTAGCATGAAGTCCTGTATGAATGTTACACAAACATTGCATCAATTGTAACCGTTTATGGGAATGGGTGTTTTTTGTTGTTGTTGCTTTCGTTTTTTTTTTGTTTTTTTGGTTTTTTGGTTTTTTGGGGTTTTTTGGCCAAAGTGAAAGATTTCCCTCTGGTATTAAGATAGCTCACATCAGGCTCTTTTGGAATAGGGTCCTAATAGGAATCTTTGGGAATACATACATACATACATACATACACACACACATACATATGTACATACATAATCTTCACTCATTTGCCCCAATTAAAATCTTAAAAAAATAAGAACAAAGTTCTATAGATTGTTGTCTTCTTGTTCCTTATTACTCTAACCCTTCCATTTACCAACTTCTAAGAAAGCAGCCTTTCTACAGCAAACAGCTTTAAGATTGGGCTCCTTAAATGTCTGATCCTCAACAGCACAACCTCCTCCCTACTTCGGCTCTTTTTCCTGGATTGTTACATGATAAGGTCATCCTTTCTGAAATAATTACTCTTTCATACGAATATTACCAGGACTCCTTAGTTAGATGTCCATTACCAAATCCTCTTCTTTAACTACTTACACAGAGAAGAGTTTGTGATTCGGAATGATATACTAATTTTAGAGGTCTATGTTTAGCTATCAAATCTCAATGGCTAGGTCTCACAATAAAGCAGAAAACGAATAAACAAGGTTTCACTTTCCAAGCAGTAGATAGTAGGAAAATTTGCTGAAATACATGGGACCTATAAATACGTCACAATTCATACAGTTCACTTTTTCAATTTATGGTTTCTGGAACCAAACATGTTTGTTGCACTTGATATGTCTCTTGACAACTCTTATATTACCCATTAATTATGTTCTTCTCCTACTTGCTGCCAATATGTTACTTTGGAAGAATAACACATACCACTGAAACATAAGGTTATGACTTGGAATTGCTAGCATATATAAAGTAAGATATTGGCATGACCAATAGTATCTTTTAGGACACCTCTTAAAGATATAGGCAATGCAGGGTGCCTGGGTGGCTCAGTGGGTTAAAGCCTCTGCCTTCAGCTCAGGTCATGATCTCAGGGTCCTGGGATCGAGTCCCACATTGGGCTCTCCGCTCAGCGGGGAGCCTGATTCCTCCTCTCTCTCTGCCTGCCTCTCTGCCTACTTGTGATCTCTGTCTGTCAAATAAATAAATAAAATCTTAAAAAAAAAAAAAAGATACACGCAATGCAGTTTTTGAGAACTTACAACTTAATGATGGCCTAATTCTAGCGTTATTAAAAGTCAAGAAATCTTTTATGAACCAATAAATTGTTCCTTTTGAATAGCTTATGTGCTATTATGTTAGAATATTTTTTTATCTAACTATATGTATATCAGAGATGATTCCTATGCTTAAACCATCATATATTAAAATCAGTTTCAGCTGGATGTTTTTATTTTTCCTTACATATGATTATTTAATTTGAATTTTAAAATTATCCATATACAAATTATATTTTTATAAATATTAAAATTATAAAACGTAACAACAGATATAAAGTCTTAGAAGGAATGATGAACTTTGAAACTGTTGTATGACCAAATGTTACTGTGTGTATGACAGGCATTAAAACATCATCAAGAGGAAAGATTCTTAGAGATAGACAGATAAATGGGTAGAAATCCTGGCTCTACAACTTTTCAGCAGGGTGATACTATCTGTCAAAGTCCTTATTAACTTCTCTAATCTTGGATACCACACCTGTAAAATAGGGATTTTTTTTCTAATACTATCAAACAGAATTCAGAGAATTAAATTAGATAACACAGATAAAACTTTTAGTCCAACATTTACTGGTGCAGTATGCTTTGGTAAATATTTTGTTATAATCTAGTCATAAACATTAAATTTTAGTTCATAAATCTTTGAGGTGAAGAAAAGTTTTTAAAAATCTTTTTTTAAGATTTTATTTATTTCTTTATTTGTCAGAGAGAGAGAGAGAGCACAGGCAGGCAGAGTGGCACAGAGGCAGAGGGAGAAGCAGGCTCCCTGCTGAGCAAGGAGCCTGATGCGGGACTCGATCCCTGGACGCTGGGATCATGACCTGAGCCGAAGGCAGCCACTTAACTAACTGAGCCACCCAGGTGTCCCAGAAGTTCTTAAAAATCTTAACCAAGGCAGAGCCTAAATCAAAGCTCTACAATTCTTTGACAGATCAAGTAGTTTAAATCAGGGGTGCCTGGCTGGCTTAGTTGGTGGAACATGTGACTCCTGATCTCAAGGTTCTGAGTTTGAGCCCCACGATGGGTATAGAGATTACTTAAAAAAAATCATTAAAAAATTTTTTTAATAGTTTATATCAGTAATGTCACTTTTTCTCCACATCCTCGCCAGCACTTGTTGCTTCTTACATTTCTTATTTTAGACATTCTGACAGAGTAAGGGAATATCTCATTGTGGTTTTGGTTTATAATTCCCTGTTGATGAGTGATGTTGAGCAACTTTGTCTCTTGGCCATCTGTATGTCTTCTTCAGAAAAATGTTCATATCTTCTGCCCATTTTTAACTGGAGTATTTGTTCTTTTTGTGTTGAGTTGCATAAGTTCTTTATATTTTTTGGATATTAAACCCTTATCAGATATATTGTTTGCAAGTATCTTCTCTCATTCAGTAGGTTGTCTTTTTGTTTCATTGATTGTTTCTTTTGCTGTACAGAAGCTTTTTATTTTGGTGTAGTCCCAATAGTTTATTTTTGCTTTTGTTTCCTTTGCCTTAGAGACATATCTAGAAAAAATGTCAAAGAAATTACTGCCTGTGCTCTCCTCTAGGATTTTTATGACTCCTGTCTCACATTTAGGTCTTTCAACTAATTTCAGTTTATTTTTGTATGGCATAAGAAAGTGGTCCAGTTTCAATCTTGTGCATGTGGCTATCCAGTTTTCCCAACACCATTTTTTAAGGAGATGGTCTTTTTCCCATTATATTCTTGCCTCTTTTGTTGCATATTGACCATATAAGCATGGGTTTATATTTATATCTGGGCTTTCTATTCTATTCCATTGATCTATGTGTCTATTTTTGTGCCAGTACCATACTGTTTTGATTACTACTGCTTTGTAGTATACCTTGAGATCTGGAATTGTGATTCCTCCAGTTTTGTTCTTTTTTAAAATTGCTTTGGCAATGTGGGTGGCTCAGTTGGTTAAGCATCTGCCTTCAGCTCAGGTCATGATGCCACAGTCCTGGGTTCAAGTCCCATATCAGACTTCTTGCCCAGAGGGGAGACTTCTTCCCCCTCTGCCTGCTGCTTCCCCTGCTTGTGCTCTCTCACTCTGTAAAATTTTTAAAAATCCTTTAAAAAATTGCTTTGGCTGTTTGGGGCCTTTTGTGGTTTCATACAAATTTTAGGATCATTTGTTCTAGTTCTATGAAAGACACTATTGATATTTTGACAGGGATTGCTTTAACTCTAGAATGTTTTTGGCGGTAAGGCCATTTAAACAATATTCATTCTCCCAATCCATGAGTATGGATTCTCTTTCCATTGGTTTGTGTCATCTTCAATTTATCTCATTGGTATTCTATAGTTTTCAGAGTTCAGGTCTTCACCTTTTTTGGTTAAGTTCAATCCTAAGTATTTTATTATTTTGGGTGCAATTAAAATAAATCTGATTACTTAATTTCCCTTCCTGCTCTTTTGTTATTACTGTATAGAAATGCAACAGATTTCTGTATATTGATCTTGTATCCTGTGAGTTTATTAAATTCATTTATCAGTTATAGTAGTTTTTTATGGTCTCCTGCTCTTACAGGTAGTGGCCTTATGAAAGAGAGGTCCTGTGGTGTCCTGTAGTAAAATGTCCCCTGGTCATCAGAATCTAGAGTTTCAGGAGTGTCTCCTATGTGAGTTGTATGTGACCTACTGCTGTGGCTGAGCTGTATTTGTTTCAGGCCAGTTGTCAGCAATGGCTCACTTTCCCTGTTGTGGGCAAGTTTGGTCCCTCTCTTGTTAATGGGCAAATGTGGGGCTGCCCTGAGCTTGAGTGGGGTCAGACCAGGCATTTGTCAGAGCTGCAGTAGCACCAAACTGCAAGGCACTCTCCCGGTGTTATACCAAGGCTGGGGGGGCGAGGGGCTTTCACCGATGGGTAAAGTGTGTAGTTAGACCAGATGTTTGCCCTCAGCCTACTGCTGGGGCTGCAGTTTAACTGGTATGTATGGTTACCTTCAACTCTCGCCAGGACAGGAGTCACATTGGAATGGTGCTGGCCCCTACTGGGACTGCTTACACAATGCCATGCTTGTGGTATAGATTTGGACTCTTGTGGGGGGCAGGTTAGAGGGTTCTGCTCAACAGGAGAATGCAAGGGCAGGGCACATAGTGTCAGCAAGCTTTGTACAGGTCTGCTGTGGGAGGAGACCTGTGCCGATCTGGAAAACTCCTGGGAAGCCAGGGTTGGAAGGAATGAGTCTGCAGAAGAATGTGGGTGTGGGGTACACTGTTAGCAAGCTCTGTGGAGTATTCACACTTTGCTGGGTCCTGCATGTGTTTGTGTATCTAGGCTGGGGGTGTGGGCCTTCCAGCTCTTTTGTTTTCAGAGAAGTCTCCCAAAGATCCCTGCCCCTGCTGCACAAGCTCTGAGATAATAAATATCTCTCCCATACCCCAAGTGTTGTTCAAACTGCTGCTTCTATGCTCTATCACTGGGGCTGTTTGTTAGGCTGTCTCTCTCTCTCTCTTTTTTTTTAAATTTCTTTTCAGTGTACCAGAATTCATTGTTTATATACTACACCCAGTGTTCCATGCAATACATGCCCTCCATAATACCCACGACCAGGCTCCCCCAACCTCCCAACCCCCGCCCCTTCAAAACCCTCAGATTGTTTTTCAGAGTCCATAGTCTCTCATGGTTCATCTCCCCCTCCAATTTCCCCCAACTCCCTTCTCCTCTGTCTCTTTAAGGGTGGGGACTCAGTTTTTTATCGCCCTTTGGCTCTCCCAGAGCTAAGCTGCTGACTTTTGAAGTTCCAGGTGTTAAGCCCCACTGATTATAAAAACTCGCAATGTGCCAAAACAAAACAAAACAAAAATTGTAAAAACTCACAATGTTAAGCCCCTCTGGTTTTCAAAGTCAATGAAATTTTCAATACAGTGTAGTACAATATTTTCTCTTCTTTATGATTTTAACATTTTCTTTTCTCTAGCTTACTTTATTGTAGGACTACAGTGTATAATACATATGTATATTAACTCCTATTTCTTATATGTTAATATGTTCATCAACTATTTATATTACTGGCAAGGCTTCCAGCAACAGTAGGCTATTAGTAGTTAAGTTTTGGTGGAGTCAAAAGTTATACATGGATTTTCAACTGCATGGGGCTGATGCTCCTAGTCCCTGTGTTGTTTAGAGGTCAACTGTGTGTGTGTGTGTGTGTGTGTGTGTATATAAATGCTTGTGCTCCTGGCATAAAAAAAGAGAAAAGAAATACTGCTCTCTCACTCTGTGTCTTCATCCCAGCCACAGGGCAACATTCTTGACTACAAGGGCTTCCAATGAGACCACTGCCACATTGGGTTAACTGCTCATTCAGTCCCCTCTACAAATCAGAACCTCTTCCAGGAAGGGACTATCTCTGTCCCCTTTTCCCTCACCTTCCAGCAGCATCTTTCTGAGACAATGGACCTTTCTGAGAATGGAATCTGAAGCCCAGCTGCTTAGGTGGGCATCATCATCCCAACACCTGCTAGCTCTGTGAACTTGGACAAGTTATTTAACCTATCTGGGTCTCATTTTATGTAGAAGGGGGATAATAATGGTGCTACTTTTTTAAGATTATTACAGAACTAAATAAGTTCATTCCTGTTAAGCACTTAGAACCTGAGAAGTCCAAAGTCATGATGGAGACACATACTCAAATGTGGGAAGATCTACAATCTTTAATTCATCTATCACCAAAAAAACACATAAAGAGAGTCCTCAAATATGCTTTTCTATTCCATCTTTTAATATCATCAATTTGTCTGACTAACGTTAACATGATTTCTGGATCAGATTCATTCATCCACTAGAAATAGGGACAAGTGAAAATAGGATGGAAGAGGCAAAGATCCTGGTAAGAACAAATTAAACATATCCTTAGACAATATTGAAAAAATACTTGGAAGGTTAAAGTGAAAACAAATTCCTCTCTTTTCTTTTCATCCAACAAAATGTTTCCATTTCTCTAAATCTGGTCATTCTGGAAATTAGGATTACATTGGATTCTGTAAGCAAGTCAAAGAAGTTATGTCTAGGATCCACACTGCCAATGGACTAAGGTTGCAACAATCATTTGCTGGCTTGCAAAACTGCTTTAAAGAAAACTCTTTAAAATTTAAATCAGGGCTTTCGCTTGAAGACCTGTGTAAATGATAGAAGGCTTCACCTGTAGACTCCAGGCATCTTCCTGTTGTACAGCATTCACTGGCTGCCTCAGGAACAGTGGATTTCCTTCACAGTAGAATTCCTTCAGCTTCAGGTTCTGAAACTTTTGAAACAAAATAAAAACTTCATTGTGTGATAAAATAACAAACTTTACTTTTCAGGCTACATCTTACTTTATTTAGAACTTCTATTCCATGTTAGTATTTTAAGAGCAGGACATAATTTAGTTTTTAGAAGCTTAAGAGCCTTCATGCTGGCTTGAATGGCAACGCAATGACCTTACAGGTCCCTGATGGCATCCTCTATACTAGACAATTGTGAAAACTTGTTCAGGATAATAGAATTGATTAGTAATAGAAGAGAGATCAGTTAATTAATCAATTAATCAATTATTTGATTATTCTCAATCAAAATGCTGAGAATATATTGCAAATAATGTATTTGTTAGAAAACCAAGTATAATGAAAAATAACATTCTAATATACACCAATATTCAGGTCTCAAAGACTGTGAACCAAGATCCATTTATGTTCAGTGAGAAAGGTAAGAGAAACAGAGGAAAATCAAAATGTTCTCATTATAATCTATTGTGCACAGTGAAAATAAAAAAGGAGAACAGATTTCACAAGGATATTTAATCTTCTATGAAGAAAACTTAAATTCAATTGTCTGCCATTTGAGTCTACCATTATTAGGAGAAAAATAAGGGATTCTCTCATATTAATAGTGTGCCTTGTCTCCCAGGAAATCATGTGTTTTCAAAGTTAAATTCATTTAGAGAATTACTTTTCCGAGCCTCAGTTTCAGCTGTGAAATGGAAAAAAGAAGACCTATCTTCAGTGGTGTGCTGGTAAAACAGTTCTGTGGAGATAAAAAATTTTAAAAAGCCCTGAACTGTGGCATGTTTTGATTCATTGGTATAAATACTGCTACCATGGCTGATTCCATTCACCAAACACAGAGCTGGGAAGAGATGCGGAAAACTGGTTTCTATGAGCCACAATGAACTGGCATCTTCACACTTACGGGAGAATTAAAGATATTTCCCTGATTTCAGCTTAGGGTTTGAAATTCAACAAATTAAAATAATTGATTTAAAACATCTTTTGAGAGCACCATGTCACTAGGTCTCAAAAGTCTCAGGAAATTTCTACAACGTAGACAACATTTTTAAATAAAATACAGAACTCAAGGCCACATTGGAACCACATTGTCTCCTAGTCCCAAAGCAGACATTCTGACTTTCTTAAGGCAGTTTCCTATGTTGTTTACCATCAGGAAGCAACCTAGAGAGTTGAATCCAATGGTAGCCCCAAGTCAGCGCTGGGTGTGCTGAAATGAAGAAAGCACTCCCCATGCTTAATAGAACCACCATTTTTTTCCTTTCTGTCCTAAAGAACACTCCATAATTTATATCAAAACTCACAGCCCTTTTCCAAAACAGATACAAACTTGAATACCTTGTTATATGTAAATATCATTGACATATGAACCTCATTTCAAATTTGAGCATGGTTCAAAGGGCATACATTTCTCTTTAGGGGTCATGCTTCTCTTCCTTCAATTTCTGTCACTACACTTCCACCATACATGGCAATGAATCACTCAGTTTGCTACCTTGTTACATAAAATATTCCAGAAAGAAGTTATCCTCCTGAAGGGACATTAATTAATGAAATTCATTAGCATGTGTTTTGCAGGAGGCATTTCAATAACCTGAAGTCACACCAATCTATCAACGTCCATTCTGAATATTCCCCAGAATAACATTTTTTCATACCCTCTCTCTGTGGGCATTACTGGGTTTCTGGTCAGCCTTCCTTCTTAATAGGACAATATTTTTGGCCATTGTTGTCACTCCAGTAGCATAATAAGCTACATTGTCTTCTATTTAATAAAACGTTGTTACAGCTTTTCAGAGTCTCTGGACCTGCCTACTCAACAAGAGTTATGAGTTTTATCTTAACTGGAACAATTTTGCCCCTCCCCCATAATAGAAATTTATAGACACCTTTGGTTGTCATAACTGGGGATGGGGGCGTATTACTGGCCTCTTTAAGTAGTAAAGAGCAGCGATGCCGCTAAACATCCTCCCTTGCCCAGGAGAGCCCCCACAGAGAATTATGAGGCCCAAAACTATGTTGAAGTTGGAAAACTCTTGATATAGAGGCAAAAAAATTATAAACCCTCATTGATCTGTTCCATCTGGAGAGGAGATTCTCAGCTGTAGGGAAATGAAGGTTTAAATGAGGGATTTTATTTTTTTTTTAAGATGAAGATCACTTGAGCACATAGAAGGCAAGTGCCAACACAGAGATTAATGTGAAGGAGATACAAGAATAATTGAAATAGTAATGATCAGGTGAACACAGAATGACCTATGACTTCTAACATCTTTGAATTATTCCCTCTTCTGTGACCAGAAGAAAGGAAGTGTAAATGCAGGCAGGGATACGTTTGAAGGTATGGGCTTGGATCATTGAGGGAGTCAGACATGATCCCTTCAATTTTGCCTCTAAAATAGAGAGTAAGACCATCTGTCAACCGAGTTGTGAAGCAAGGTGTCACTGTGGAAGGAGGCAGGAAGAAGGTGGTGAAAGTCTGGAATGTGCTACAAATTTTTGAAGAGAAACCTGGCCAGGGACAAGCAAAAATATTACAGAAGTGCTGAAGGACCTACTGGAATCCGCACATTTGGTGATTCCTGTCTACACATTGTGTGCTTCCATTTAGCACCCAGCAGCCCAGATCCAGCCTGGAGAGTCTGCAGAACGGATATGTCAGAAAGCAAAGGAATAGGTGCACTGTATGTACTAAAAGTAAATGCTTTGGACTTTATGGTCTAGGCCAGATAGAAAAAGAAATAATAGCACAAAATTTCAATGGACCAGGACTAAAAGGAGAAATAAAGGGATATGAAGTTGTCAGTGACCCAAAAGAAAAGATACAGCTGTAAACCAATAGGGAACTGGAGGAACCAGTGCTCAAACTGCCATACTAGACTTTCATTCTTCCAATTTAGAGCAGGTGAAAATGATGGTAAGAACCAGACATGAATGTGGAGGTGGTTTGCTGAAGTGAAAACTTGGAAAGCTCATTAAAATCAAGGATTAGGGGCACCTGGGTGGCTCAGTGCGTTAAGCCTCTGCCTTTCGTCATGATCTCAGGGTCCTGGGATTGAGCCCCACATCAGACTCTCTGCTCAGTGGGGAGCCTGCTTCCCCCTCTCTACCTGCCTCTCTGCCTACTTGTGATATCTCTCTGTCAAATAAATAAATAAAATATTAAAAAATAAAATGAAATAAAATAAAGGATTAGAAGAACTTTGTGTGGAAGTAAACCACCTTTACAAACGAACTTCCTGGGTAATGCTCTCAAATATCTGGCTATCTATGGAACATCTCCAGCCAGATGTCACACAATCAATAAACTGCAACATTTGAAACTAAACTCATGTTTCTTCCACATTTTCCTCCTTCCTTTTCCTCATCACCTACATCAAATCTCCCTCCATGTTCTGTCAATTCTACCTTCTTAAAATGTCTGGAATCTATCATTTTTTTTAAGATATACTTATTTATTTAAGAGAGAGAAAGAGTATGAGTTGGGCAGAGGGAGAGGGAGAGAGAAACTTAAATAGGCTCTATGTTCAGTGCACAGCCCAACATGGGGCTAAATCTCACCATCCTGAGATCATGACCTGAGTCGAAACCCAGAATTGGACACTCAACTGACTGTGCCACCCAGACACCCCTGGAATCAATCCTTTATTTCCATCCCACTCTCCCACCCACCTCCTCACTACCATTGCAGAATCTCCTCCTCCTTCCAACCCTAGCCACTAACCCTCTGCCTTGATTAAGGCCCTCACCTTATATGAATTACTACAACAGTACTCGAATTAGTGTCCATGCAAACTTCTGCTGCCAAAGTAGTCTCTTAAAATGAGATTCTGATCATAATACAATCCTGCTTAATACTTTTCAATGTTCTCTTTTGCCCACAGAATAAATTCAAAATCCCTAGTATGTCATAACTGGCCTTTCTTGGCCAGTTTCTCCAATCCCATATCCTGGTAAGCCCAACCTTCACCCTTATACGCCAGTCATCCTAAGGCACTCAGGGGTCTCACAAGAGGCCTGTGTCTTATCTTTCAGTTATTACTCATGCTGTGCCTTCTACTCATCCCACTCCTGGATCACCTCTTCTTAAAGATGAAAATATTACCCACCTAAGCTTCTTTGGCTTCTGCCAAATATTTCCATGTCTACCCCTTGGGCCTTAAATATAAATCATACCACCTTCAATACTAGAAACAATCATTTTCGAAAAGCCTATCTTCATCTATCAGGCTTTAGTCTCTTTAAGAACCACATCTTAAGTGCCTATGTAATGCAACCTCTAAATTCAGTACTTAGAACACAGCTGATACCCAGTAAATAACTGGCAAGTTAACAAATGTCTTCTCAGAAACCCAGACACACACGGCTCTCCCTAAGAACTCAAATTTTTCAAAGGCCTTCTTCTCCAGAGGTGGTCAATTGTTAACAGTTTCTCCAAAGCCCCAGGCCTCAGGAACAAAGTATAAATTCAACAAGTCCTTCTGTTGCTTTAGACTAAAGTAACAAGGAAGACCAGAGGGTCTGGTTCAGCAAGAAGGAAAAAGGAGGCTGAGATTTCATATTGACTAAAACAGAACTGATAAGTAAGCTAACAGCAAATTACCATGGGGTCTTCGGACCACCCCAAATCTCATGGGTTAGCAAGAATTAGAATTCCTAAATAAGCTAAAGAGGATAAGATTTTAAGTGTGGAGCAATGGCATTCAAAAAATATATGAACAATTCTAAAACGACAAAAATAAGATTTGTGACCAATGAGAAATTTACAAAAATTTATGATAAACTTCATATCTAATCAGAATTGTATAATGAGTAGGCTGATGATATCATCTGAACATGACAAAGACAAAAACTCTATTCTGGGAAACCTTCTCTCACACACCCTGGATGACTGGGAGTGAAAATAGGCATAAAGTAACCTAAAGTAAAGATCCTTCAGTATCTGCTGGATACTTGTCCCTTGAGAAGACCCTTAGAAAGA